AGGAAGACGCTGCAGGGGCTTCCTCCTGCTCCCTGGGAGGTGGGGAGCTCAGGAGGTGGGGAGCAGCAGGAGGAAGTGCTGGGGATGGGAGTGGGACATGGCAGGATCCTGTGCCACCAGCCTGGGAAGTGCCAGGGACAGAAGGGGAACCAGCCTGGGAAGGAAAGGGACAGGACCCTGTCATGTCCCATCAGCCTGGGTCCTGTCCCACCAGCCTGGGAAGTTCTGGGCCCAGGAGAGGGACAGGCAGAGTGGTGTCCTACCTGCACATGGATGTACCCAGGGCTCCTGTCCTGGCACAGCTCCCAGCCCAGCAGTTCTCCCACCTGCAGGACCCCATCCCGGGCACAACACACCCGTGGCCAGGGTGTCCCAGGGTGCAGCTCCTGGAAGAGGCACCCATTCCCAAAGCCTTCAGGCCCTAAAACTCCACAACACGAGAACTGCAAGGGAAGGGAAACACCATCAACAGGCTGACAACGTGGGGGTGTCACCTGGGGAGGTGACAGGGAAGGGGGCCAGCCCAGCACCGGGCTCAGTCTGGGGGCTCCAGCCCCTCGCCTGAGCTCTGGGTCACCCCTGGGTGCTCCACAGCCCACCAGGAGCCTCCCAGCTGCTCACCGTGACCATCAGGGTGTTCCAGGCAGTGGAGAAGACCTCAGCACCTTCATCCCCACGGTAGCTCCTCCTCAGCTCTGCCAGGAGCTGCTCTGGCTGGATCTGTGGGGTCGGTGCCCTCTGTGAGCACCAGGGGAGCAGTGACAGGGCTGGGGCTGCTGCCTCCCCACCCCTCTCTGAGGGGACATGGGGACCCACCACAGGACCCTCCCACCCACTTTTAGGGTCAGGATGCTGGTGATGAAGATGAGGGTGAGAAAGGATGTCCACACAGTGGTCCCAGCCCCCTGGGGGACACGGGGCCATGACCCACGGTGGGGAACAGGGACAGGGGCTGGGCACACCAGGCCTGGCACTGGGGGGACAGGACCTGCTGCCAGTGCAGCAGGAGGAGAACAGCCCCAACCAGCTGCGTGATGAAGACCAAGGTCACCAGGATGAAGAACTGGAAGGCAGGGGGATGGAGGACTCAGGGCAGCCAGACCCCCAGGAGCTTCCTCCAGCCACCCCCGAGCCCGGGGGGACACAGGGCACAGGTGCCACCTCCCCCAGCCCCGTGGCTGCAAGAAGGGGGGGCTCAGCTGCCAGGGGTGGGGGTGCCAAAGGACTCGGGGTGAGGGGGCTCAGGAAGGGGTTTCCAGCCCTGCCCACCGGGGGGGAGCTCAGAAATGCCCCGTGGGACGAGGCAGCAGCTGAGG